CAGTTGATCAAAACACACGTTATCAGATGATGAGGGGTAGGAAGTCGAAACGCGCGTGATCAAATTGCGTTTTGTGCATTCCACTCACACTTAGTGGAAACTAAATTAATGCTGGCTACATTATGCGCCGCATGCGTTATAACAACCTGGAGATTAGGATTGTGGGCTCCTCTTGTTGTCCACAATAAAACACAACAACTTACGTGTACATGTTAATCAAATGCAATTAAATGACTGAAGATCATCTTAGTTGCAGACACAACAGTTGTGGAATTCAGTTGCTAATTTGCATATTTTTTAGGGACCTGGCTTGGTCAAACTGAAGCCAGTAGACTTTGAATGAAAAGTCAAACTTAGCGCTGGCCACACGTATTTCCAAACTGCAGTAGTTAAGTAAAAACTGTTTGTAAAGTCGAACTGCAGACATATGACATCTGGTTACTGTCTCTGCTATACTGGATAGTTTAATTTGTCTACATACATGAACACCTGTTCATACTGCCGCGAAGGGTAGCAGTTAGTGACTTTCAAGATAGGAGCCGCAAATTCTGCTTCAGTACAGAAACCACTGTGCATAAAAGCCCTATCTGATATGGTTTCCATGCAGGAACAAGAGCTATCTGTCACTGTAGACATTGTTCTACTTTAAGTACAACACATGTATGCACAAAACGTAGGTGTCACTATGACAGGTTACTTTCTAAGTTACCTGATGGATTCCACAATGCACTCTTCACAAATCTCTTAGCAGCACCCTTATCGATCCTTAGAGATGCTATGACAAAACAGATTGAAAAAAAATTATAATAATTCTTCCCTCTCTTTAATCAACCCTCAAACTGCCCCTTATAAGCTCCCGCTACCTGTAAACAAAACAATACATCTAAACTTTGTAAATCGAAAGCAACAGGTCTTGACAATATTTCTGGCAAGCTTCTCAGAGAGTGTCCTGATTTGATTTCTGAATCATTGTCATGTCTATTCAATTTGTCAATTAAAAAGAAAATATTTGCAGATGAGTGGAAAACCCAAGAGTTACTCCACTCTACAAGAATGAAGGAAAACGTTCAGATATGACCAATTATAGCCTGATATCATCATCCCCGTGGCTGGGAAAAAAATTGACCAGAACCTGAATTGGGATGACGATATTCAGATGATTTCTAAAAACTTAAGGTTGCTTCAGGTATCAGTGCAATCAAGCACGTCAGAAACTTTGTCCCTCGTGACTATTTTATCATGCTCTTGTACATGTACAGCCTCACTTCAATTACTGCAGTGCAGTTTGGGGAAATTGTAATAAGGGCCTCTCCCAGAAGCTGCAGAAACTACAGAACTGCGCTGCTCGTATAATCACAACATCAAATTACAATGCTTGCCTGGATGAGCTCTTTCAGTCACTAAATTGGCATAAACTTGAGCTGCCACGTAAGTTTGATTCATCTATTCTTATGTATAAGACTTTTTATAAAAATGAAACCCTTGAGAATTTGAGCTCAAAATTTATTAATGGTATGGACTTAAGCCTTATAACATAAGAACTATGGTAAACACACTAGCAGTACCACTTTCCTGCAATGAAACCTTCAAAAAGAGTTTCAGTTATAGTGGAGTGGTGTTGTTGAACAGTTTACCAGATCATTTAAGACAGGCATCATCACTGACAAATTTCAAATCAAATATTTGTTGCCACAATCCCCAGAGTTACGTGGGTTTTAATTACACAATGTTGTCCTTGTAAAGCAGGAAGTTCTGGTTTTGCACTTATTGTTTGTTATTTTAAGTGGATTCCAGATAATATTGCTAGTTTTTCTAAGGGATCAGAGGAGATACTGACCTTCTTTCTTTTCTGTTGCTTCTTTCACTTTTCCCATGTACTTCTTTATTCTGTCCTACAATGACAACAAATGGCAGCACACAAGTTAAAGAACTTCTATGACCTTCAAAACCCGCCGATGTGCACAACCTATGGGATACAGCTTAAACAATACTACAATACGAAGGGATGAAAAGAGCATGAGAAAAAATAGTGTTAAAAAAATATAGTTTTGTTGTGAGGATTAGTAAGGAATCATGAGTTGTGTGCTCCAGCACCTTTTTCCAGTGATATTGTGCCAATATTCTCCATTATTTAAAATTTTTTAAAACCAAAACTTTGCTGACCCGCACCTATTTTGTATGGTCTGAACTCATAATCATCTTTCTTAGCCATTCAAAAACAATCATATCATGACATTTTGTCCATTCTAAAAAGGAATGTGATACACTTCTTTCTTTCTGCCTGCTTTAGAACAGAACAGAGCACAGTCGAGGCTTCTTTATTTGCTATAATAAATAATGATATAATGGTACTACATGTAGCTCAATGTATTCCAGGCAAATGACTTTACCAGTTCAGATTTCACAGGATGCTCACGTGGGTTTACACCTTGAGTGGTAAGATACACTACAAAAAGAGACACATATATTATTTTCACAATAAAAACTTCTACACAACACTCCACAGAATTCAATTTGATGGTATACCGTAAACTACCGCTTATAAGTCCTGGGCAGCCTTATACATCTTCGTAAGGGGTTTTAGGATCAGGGCTTACATATGGAGAGGCTTGAATCCATGGGGGCTTATAACTAAGATAATAATAAATCAAATTCATTTATATACATTTGGAGGGGTGCTTTTATCTAGGAAGGGGAGGCGGGGGGTTATGATCAGATGCACTTTTTTTTTTGTTTACTGGCAGATGTGCCTATAACTGGGGGAGCTTATAAGTAGCAGTTTACAGTATATAAAAAACTCATGATTCCAGCTTATCAGCTTTCCCTTGTACACATGTAGTTATGGCTTTTGAAACTTTGGAAGTTTTGTTAATCCTGCTCAACTAAACCTTTTTGGTAGTATTGTCCCATTATACTATTTTCTTTTGGCTAAAGGCAAGTAAAGGGAGGCTTTTGTTAAGAAGCTGGAAAAGTAGTTTCAGAAAAAACTTACTCCAGAACATTGAGTTGATAGCATAAGCAACTACTAGGTCAAGTTTTGCACTTTCCAGTGGATTCATCTAAAAAAGAAAATAAAAAGTTAAAATAGGGCTTGTTATCCAAGTGTTATGAAAAATAAAAAAGAACCAATAAATAAGACCCTGTATTCTGTAGTTTTGGCAGCCCAATAAAGGTTCACTAATTTTAACACTGACTTGATTGTTATAAGATTGAAGATATCAGTTAGGTTATCCTCATCTGAGCCTGTGAAAACAGCCATCTTTCCTTGCTCCCTGCTAGGGACCTTTAGCCAGGAGAGATGTTTACACCTCAGTGACAGAAACTCTGTACTGATGTTTACATAATAAATCTGGTAGTCATGGGGTTCCAAATGTCAGTTTATTCTCCTGGTTGATAATCTAATGGTAAAGTTTTTTCTTCTTTTTTGGTTCTTTTTCCCTTCAATGAATGAGCTTCAGAAAAGCTCAAATGTTTCTGCTACAGAAAAATATATTCCATGAAAATTGATTGTTTTGTAGTAGATTCATTGCGTTTACATTTTAACATTATGACTGTTGGTCTTTTGTCTGTCAATCACAAACAATAGCTAAAACAATACAACTACTATGTCAACCAATCACAGCTCCCAACCAGATTTCAGACAGATTATACACCAGCAGTTTGAAATTTTTGTTGCTGAGGCACAGACGCCTCTCCTGGCGAAACATCCCTAGCGGTGAGGAGTGAGGAGAGATGGCTGTTTTTGCAGGCTATTCTTGCTTTAATCAATTCAACTTTCGGATTTGACGTGTTTCATGTGCCACAAACATAAAAGAGTCATAAAACTTGTAAGAACTTTTAAGAATACTTTTGTACATGTGAATACAAATTGCAGGGTATCGATCTCCCTGTTTTTCTGAGAATAACCCTCACCAGCTTTGTATTTGGTTGTACCTTTAACGCTCTTTTGAGTTGATTTCTTCACTTTAATAATACAACGCAACTAAAGACAACATTTTTAATAAGAGTGTTGAACGAATATGCGATCCTGTCTTGTGATCAAAAGAAACCGTTTACTTGATTTCATAGAAGTTTCAGTTTCAGTTAAGAGCGTAGGTGACCAACAATTTAATTTAACGTTTAAAAAATCTCAAGATGTGATATTAAAATGAAAGCTATACAACGTAAAGTTTCAGCTTGTCAAAATCTACTTGAGGGTTACATGTACGCTATGTTTTTTTATAAAGGGAACTTCAAACCTTTTCCTTTAGGTCATCCACTGAGGTCTCTAGAACAGGCTTGAAAACATCTTCAACTTTACCCAAAGCTTCGTGAAAAGTCTCAAGGGACTCAGTAACTTCTTCAGGTAAATCGGGCTCTTCTTCCACATGAGCCGCCATCTTGAAAATGCAATGCGCTGGAGGACTGGGTCACAGTGTGTAACATCGACGTTTTTGTAACGAGGCTATTTTAAGCATAAAATGACGTCAGTTGTAGACTTGTGAAATGGATCCACGTTGCAAAAGTAGGGTACACAAAAATTATAACCCAAATTACAGCGAGTTATGAAATTTAAAAGGTATAAAATGAGCTACTTGTTAGTTGTAAAGATCAATACATCAAGATATCAGAAACAATCAATAGAAGACAAGACAAGACCAACTGAAAGAGATATTTTAAACGACTATGGGAATCACACTCTCTCAGTTTTTCAAAAGTATGAGTGATCTTTATCGTTCTTTCTCCAATCGTGAAGCTCGTATCCTCATGGTAGGGCTTGATGCAGCTGGTAAAACCACCATTCTGTAAAAACTCAAGCTAAACGAGACTGTAAGCACCATTCCTACAATTGGATTTAATGTGGAGACTGTGAGCCCATGCAAGGGTGTCACGTTCACCGTCTGGGATATGGGAGGCCAAGAGAAGCTCAGACCATTGTGGCGCCACTATTTCCAGAACACACAGGGCTTGATATTCGTGTTAGACAGCTCTGATTTGGAGCGAATGTCAGAAGCCCGGCAACAACTTTTCAGCGTCCTTGAAAGTGTTGAAATGGAACGTGTGCCTGTGGTTGTCATCGCCAACAAGCAAGATCTTCCAAGAGCACTCAAGGCTCACGAAATTGCTCAACAACTGTCCCTCTTGCAGCATAAAGCGAACCCATGGCATGTTCAAGAAACCTGTGCTAAGAATGGCGAGGGTATAAACGAAGCTGTGCACAAGCTGAGCGACATGGTCAAGGAATTTGAAAAAAGTTCAAGAAAATACTGACCAATAATAAACTGGAACTAAAAGACCAATGGATTGGTAAACTAACAAGTTTGTTGCCTTTATTTAATTTGGACATTGTACAGCTCTGATTGAAATCAGGGATAATTTATAAGACTTACCAGCAGTTTAGGACAATTGTTGCACTGAAGACATTTGAGTCTTCTGATTATTATAAGAAAAGCATTATTAATTCATTTTTTATGTACAAGTTCTTTTTTGCCCGTGACTTTGAGATTTCTTTACTTTTATAATCTTCAAAATTTGCTTTAGTGCCAAACATGCAGGTCATGTTCATGCAGCTAAAGGAGGAGTTGAAACCTTTGCTTTGTAATTTAATTTTGTAAAGTCATTGCGCAGCTGGGCACTAAACGTGAATTTTACTTTTAAAAAGACTGAGACAATTTATAAATACTTGTGTTGCTTTTTCAGAATTTTTTTATAGCATGCAAATATCGCTGAACTTAATTATATTGCCCGTGCTGCTTTACAGATCCGATTCAGACGAACATGCATGAACGATCGTTATAAAAACGACATATAGATAACTAACTAACTGAAATAGAGAGATGTATTATCCAAGTTAACTGTAAGATCATTCATTGCATGAAAAAGGACAAAAAAAATGCAGCGAATCAATTCTTAGTCCCCAGGGCTCTCCCCCCTTAGGCGGAGCACTTAGTCCCCAGGGCTAAAATACAAAAAAAGGTGCTCCGGAAAAAGATCAGACGAGATCACGTTAAGCGAATTTAAGAAATTAGTCTGGGATGATAATGCGAAATACGAATTAAGCCGACTCTTAGAAAGTACAGAAACAAAAAATAGGCCGAACACAGCACTGAATAACTATAACGTGACTGATCTATTCACACAAAACTTAACTGACGTATGCAAACAAGCAGGCTTGAGATTCAATAACACCACGAGGAAGCATAGTGAAAAACCATGGTTCGACGAGCAATGCAACATACAAAAAGAGAATCTTAAATCATTAGGTAGGCATATCTCACGAAACCCGAACGTGGAGGAATTGAGATCAAGTCTACACAAGAAAAAAAAGGCTTTCAAACACCTGTGCAGAAAAAAGAAACGCCAACATTATAATCGGATAATTAAATGTATTGATCTCAGTAATGCTAAAACTGCGTGGAGACAACTTAGGAAATTATTCAACCTGGGCAAATCCAAAAATATGCAAAAACACACATCTGAGGACTTAGAGAAGTTTTACAGTTACTTTAAAAAGTTAAACGCACGAAAACAGCAAAACGAAGAGTACATACTAACAAGATCAGAGGCCTTAGGGCCCCTAGATTATGAAATATCTGAACAGGAAACGGTAACTGCTATCGACCTCTTAAAAACTGGAAAGGCCCCGGGAGTAGATAACATTTTATGCGAGCTGCTCAAACATGGCAAAGAGGCCTTAAAAGGGCCTCTCACAATCCTTTTCAATAAAATCCTAACCAGTGGTAGGTACCCTACCCTGTGGAGTCATGGCCTAATTATACCAATCTTCAAAAAAGATGATCCGTCCAACCCAGAGAATTATAGAGGAATTACTCTCTTATCAGCCATGGGAAAGATTTTTACCTCAATAATGAATAGCAGGCTTTGTGACTATCTAATTGAAAAGGGCATAATTACTCCAGAACAATGTGGCTTCCGAAAAAAACATGGTACACAGGACAGTATCTTCATTTTAAAAGCACTAATAGACAAATATGTTAAATCTAAACCCAAGAAATCAAATAACCTTTTATTCACCTGCTTTGTTGACTTTAGTAAAGCATTCGATAGTATCCCCAGAGGGAAACTGTTTCAAAAATTGAAG